TAGGGGATATGAAGGATGGGCGCCATATGTTGTCTGGAGAAGGCGGGACTGCCTCTTCACCAAGATTCAAGTCAAAACGACGGTCGGAGGGTCCAGACATTTTCAAAGTGTTGAAGGAAGAAGAGATCGGACAAATCAAGATCTTAGAAGTGCAAGAAGGGAGTTTTCACAAGCGAAAATTCAAGTGTGCTTTGAAACGAACTGCATGCCTCTATAAAAACAGCACTCGACGGGATTGCAGAGATCGAAGAGGCGAGCTCAGAATTCGAAGAGACCATTCAAAAATCGAAGAGGCAAGCTCAGAAATCGGAGAAGCATCTTGCTTTTCCAGACGCATCGGCACCCGTCACACGCAAACTCAGCTTTGCGGAAATCACGGGCAATTTGTCGAAGCGCCAATCCCAGATATCGAATAGGCGCCAGTCTTTTTCAGCCGCGTCAACACCTGTCATATGCACACTCAACTTTGCGCAAATCACGGGCAATTTGTCGAAGATTTTCGGTGAAGGATAAAGCACGTGAAGTTTACTGTTCAATCACGCATTGGTTGCCGACACGAGTGAAAGAATAGTACCTCTACATGTATCAAAGAACTTCCTATAACTGTCCACCTTCACCTTCCATAGCAAGGCAGACATACAGAGCCTTTCTTCATCTCCAAAAATGCTTTCCCAACGAAGCCTCTCAAGTCATTCAATGTTCTTTATTCCTTGGGGTACCTCTGCAAGTCAATGACTCCAAAAGCAAAAGTATCTCATATCACCAGGGTAGAAAGCAAGAGTATCTCATATCATGCGTTCTCCCTGTCATTTCCTTTGTCCTTGTTCTTACCTACAAAGACAAGGATAAAGAAAACAATATGCCGGAACTTCCACTTAAACTCGGGTAAGGAACCGACTGCTTGGAACCCTTCCCTGATTGCCTACCTAGCACTGCTCTTGAGTAATCGTTTCCTACTGCTGCTGTACTTCCAAAGAAGCTGCCACATTTGCCTGGAGAACAGATAAGGCAAGTGAAAATGATACCTTGCAGCATGTGGAGACAAGGTGCAGAAGGAACAAGCAGAGAAGAATGCAGTCTGCACAGTCAACTCAGCAGAAGGAGTCCGAGCTGAAAAACTCGAGAAGCTGCCATATCTGCCTGAAGAAACAAGCAGAGAAGAATGCAGCATTCACAGTCAACTCGGCAGAAAAAGTCTGAGATGAAGAACTCGTTTTGACCCTCAAATTCTTGGGTCGACTTACTAAGCGTTGTGGGCTGCACGTGCCGATTCACCACCCTTGAATCAAATCCTTAAAGATCAAGTCACCAACTGGAAGAAGAGTCCATCAATCTTGAAGATCATACCGCTGACCAAACTGCTCAGGTGTGAATTAGAAATATTGAACAAAGCAACAAGTCGTCACCTTCACCTCGTGCCTGCTTGCCATGTGTTCGAGTCAGCCTTCGAGAATCAAGCCTCAACGGCCCTTGAAGAAGCTTCCAGCCAAATTCAAAATCAAGCCTCGACGGCCCTGGAAGAAATCACAAGTCCGATTCAAGATTAAGTGTCTACCACCCTTGAATCAAAACCTAGTTCAAGAATAAGCTGTGGAAAATCAACAATTGGAGGAATCCAGAAAATCCTTCAACCCAGTTCAAGATCAAAGCTGTGGAAAGTCAACAAGCGCAACAAAATACGTGTCGATTCACTCACTACCAAAGCCAAAGATCATCTGCCACATGAAGCTCCTTGTGGTCCAATTTCAACCTTCAAGATCAAGCCTCGACGGCCCTTGAAGAAATTTCAAACGAAAGTTCAAGAACAAGCCTCAACGGCCCTTGAAGAAATCTCAAGCCCAATTCAAGATCAAGCCTCAACGGCACTTGAAGAAATCTCCAGCCCAATTCAAGATCAAGCCTCGACGGCCCTTGGATCGACATCTACAGTAAGGGACTTCAAAACGCATCTCATACACGCGACAAGCACATGTACACGACGCGACTTGAAGTGGGGGCATTTGTAGACATCGAAATTTCGGTAAATAAATGTTGACCGATAAATCAAAGTGTCAACGCTCATGTATTACATAAATTTTACACGTAGCGTGTGACTCAACGAAAATTGAAATGAGTTGGAAAAGTCATCAAATAGGACACGTGTCAACACCTGGCAGAAACGACTTATTTCATCTGGGATATTATATTCAAAATTAGGCCTTGGAAAATTCTATAAATACAAACCCATTTCATTCATTTGAGGAGAGAACCAAAAAATCATTAGGCAAAACTCTTGAAGCTCTGAAGCTCTGAAACTCCGAAGCTCTTAAGCATCCAGGTTCCCGAAGAATCAAGAAAACGTTCTTCGTTCATCGTTCATCCTAAGATCAAGCCCCAACGGCCCTTTGGATCAACAATCATCCACCAATTCAAGATCAAGCCCCGACGGCCCTTGAAGAAAGTGTTCCTCGTTCTTCGTTCATCGTTCTTCCAAGATCAAGCCCCAACGGCCCCTTGGATCAACCATCCACCAATTCAAGATCAAGCCCCGACGGCCCTTGAAGAAAGCACCATCGTTCGTTCATCATCCGTTCATCCAAGATCAAGCCCCAACGGCCCTTTGGATCAACAACGTCGACAAATCCACACATCCAACCGTTCTTCAAGATCAAGCCCAAAAGCCCTTGAAGATCCGTTCATCACTGTTCTTCAAGATCAAGCCCAAAAGCCCTTGGAGATCCGTTCGTCACTGTTCTTCAAAGATCAAGCCCAAAAGCCCCTTTGAAGATCCGCTCAAATCCACCTTCAAAGATCAAGCCCACGGCCCCTTGAAGAAACTTCCAACAGTTCATCCAAGATCAAGCCTCGACGGCCCTTGGATCAAGGAAACATCCACAAATCAATACCTTACGGAGATCGAATCAGAGGATCAAAATAGAGAGAGATTGTAACCCAAAATCATCAAATACAAATATTTTGTTTGTGCACGTTCATTCTTGTCTCTTTCGTTTCAGGAATTTTCCGTGTTCACAATATTCAACAAATTATGGGATGTTAATAAAACAACCCAAATATTATTAGTAATAAAAAAAGGTATTATTAAAAGGAATTTGAAGTTTGAATGTTTTTAATTTTGTTGTTTGAATTGGATGTTTTGTTAACCTAATTTACTACTCCTATAAAATTTAATAAGACCTTGAGTTTAGTTAAAATAGCGGGGAAGACGAAATATTATAATTGTATTCTAACAAGGAAGGATGAATGTTGTAATCGTACAATATTATTTGATATTAAAGTTTACCTGAGGGCATGAAAATTGAAAAGAGTCACGTAAACACTTATATTAGGCTTATTTTTAACGGAAAATTAATAAAAAATGGTTTGAAAACTTTGAGTTTTAACAATAAGGACAAAATAAAGGGTCAAGTGAATAGTAATAGGATTGACTTTTTAGTGTAAAAATGTGATTTTTCGTTAAAGTGAACAGTACCTAGAATTTTTCGTTAAAGTTCCTTATTTTTAATTATACACCACGCATTTTATATAAAATGAGTACTTTGTACACTCTATTTTGTTGACTCTATTTTGTTGACAAACATGAGTACTTTGGTCGTCAGTAAGGGAATTTGGAATAATTTTGGCCGGTGGATTTTGATATTTTATTTTGTCCAAAATGTGAAAACAAATCGAAAAAACCAGATATCTCTTACCATGTCAGCTAAAAAACGTATCTTTCAACCGAGTTGGCAAAACAGGATAAAGTGGAACCAAAAAAGGAAAAATTAAGCCATAAGGAAGTTTAGTACTTTTCTAATTATTCTTATCTATAGTAATTAATAAAACTCTCTTTATCAATCAAAAGAGGATGAAAAGACAAATTAGTCTTCTATCACACAAAAAAATGATGGGTAATAATGTAATTTCACAAGTCCAAATTTTAATATTTTTTATTGAAGCATCAACTACAGATGATGTTAAAATACCTCAAATTAAAAATAAAAAAAACCGAAAACAAAAACCTCTCACTCTCCCCCCCCCACATTCTCTCTCTCTCTCTCTCTCTCTCTCTCTCTCTCTCTCTCTCCCTCTCTCCTTCTCATGTTCTAAAAAAAATGTGTTGATACACACAAAGTGTGTAGGCAAATGCTACTTAGTTTTAAGATAAGACTTAAAAAAAAAACAATTTGGAGAAGGATTAGGCAAGATTAACTATTCGTCAACAGTCATGTCCTAAGTACCAACCCTTTCTCAAAGGAAAAATGATTGTTGCAGCCCCCCCCCCCCAAAAAGTCCCCTATACTAGTTTTTATTTAAAAAAAATAAAACAAGAGAAGGGATAGACCAATACTCACAAAAAACAATTAACGAAAACAATATGTTCTTGTTCATAAATTCTTCAACTCCAACCACTTAATTTTTTTTTCCATAGCTGCTCATATAGTGCTCTAGTTTTGACTCTTGATCCAATAGCTTAAAGATTTCATGGCGAACATCCACCTCCTCATCATAATTGTGCTCCTCATGATATAGTTCACCGACAATATTATTGGAATTCATCTCATTCCCTCCGTTGATTAGTCTCGGATGGCAACGACTACCTCCATATGTTTGGTCATGTGTAGAGGACATTTTGTTGACAAAAGATCTTCCCAAAACAACATAGGATGAGTCCTAGGACTTGGTCACCATGTTTCAATAGGTCAATGTGATATTATGATAATCGACATAAATTTTATTGTGAGTAGCGGATCTTAAATTATTTCTAATTTAATAACATCAGTCTAAACATTTATAAGTTCAACATATTGGAAATTTGATGAGGAATTCACTTTATTTGATTGAATGTGTAGAGCATTGTGTGAAATGCAAATCAATAATGGTGTTAAAGGGCGACCCCAAGCCAACAAGGTTCCCCGCTTTGCGAGGGTCAGATGAGGGGGGAACGTCTATCATGCAGCCTTACCATTACTTTACAAAGAGATTGTTTCCACGACTCGAACAGTGACATTTCGGTCGCAAAGTAAATGAAAAATATGATGAACATGAGTTGCACTCAAATCTCATATAAGTTCATTCCATGAAAATTTATACAGAATCCAAATCAAACAGATAAAGATGCATCATAAACACAACTGACCATCTTCCTCAGATCAAATTATTAAGAGCAAAATACATAAAGGGAAAAAAAAAAAAAAAAGTCAAAGTTGTTCAAGTCCTTCAGCAAATAGAGAAGCAAAAGCCTCCATAGAATGTTTTTTCAAAGCCAAACCAATCTCAACACCTCCTCCACCGTTCTTGCTATCTGAAAGAGAGATCGCTCCAGTCCTATCTATCGAAACGAATTCAATTGTCCTTGGTCTTCCCCATCCAAAATCAGCTGCATCATATAGCTCAAACCTAGGCGAACCAGCAACAGAAAATAATCTATCAGTACTAGTCTCTGCATCGAACATGCGTGGTATCCAAGTCTCCATCCCGTTCAAAACACCGTCAGTGTCCAACCTTTTTATAGGTGTACTAACCGCAGTTAAGGCCACGAACAACCCATCTTCTCCCACCAGGTCGTCTGTTTCTGCAATTACACCACGGGCTGCAATGCAATTCCCAAAATATGTTGCCGGTAAAGGAGGGTCTAAGCGAGACCTACAGTCCACGTTAAAGATGAAAAGTACTTTCTTTGTTTTGATCTCCTCAGCCTTCACTAAGCAAACCCATGTATAGGCACACGTTAGCGAAAACGTTGACAAATGAAGTTGTACTGAATGACCAGCTTGTTGCTTCTCCTTTGCCATCATAGACATCACTGATTGTCTTAGGAATTCTATTTTGGCACGTGTGATTTCGAAGCTACCTCGAATCAAGCTTCCTGCACCTGTAAACCCTAAAGACATTAAGGTTCTATTGTTGGAGCCACTGTATCTTAACCAGTCCTTCGAGAGGATTGCGTGGAGCCCTGCCGGGTCTTTGATGGCCATTCTGTCATAACTTGGCAACAACGGCGAAGACAGTCCTTGTCCTCCATGTTTGCATATATGAGCCCATGATTTCATAAACATGGTTGAAGTCTTGCCGTCAAGGACAGCATGGTGCACAGCTGATCCAATGGAAAAACCGCCGGTGGGAAAGGCGGTGATTTGCAATGCTAGCACTTCAGCTTGGTCATGAGACACCGCCAAGTGGGGTATAAGAGGATGGTATTCTTTGGCCTCAACGCTAAAGCTGTTGCTTGAAACTAGATGGTAAAAATCAGCATTAGACTCAGCTATTGTGAGCGAAACGGCGTTGCCTTTGACATAATTGATAATGGGAGGAGAGTCTTGAGGCCAGGTGAGATTTCCTGCTAGAGGTACAAAGTGTTGGAGGGTGACGGAGAGCGAGGTTTTGAGCTTCGGAAGTATGGAATCAAAGAAGAGTGATGTGTTGAATGAAGGTATTTCGAAGAAGAAAACGCGTTGAATTGGTGGAAACCTTAGCCACAAGATATCAAAGAAGGTTAGAGGAAGAGACTGATCATCCGGTGAGCTTGGATTTGGGGCTGCCTTGCAAACCTCAACCACTTTGATTGAGCTTGGTTCTGCCATTGGAGATATGGAAGAAGCTTTAGTGCAGAGCTAAGAGAGGAAACAAAAATAAATAATACAACTCAGTTAGCATTCAATCGGGAAAAAGTTGACTAATGCAGAGAGATTAAATTTGTAGATAAATATTGTAAATTAAATGACATAGAAATTGATGATTAGATTATTACCTAAACGTTGATAACGTATTCATTCTTATTAGTGACACATTATTTAGTTTGTAAATTTTATCTACAAATTTAATCTCTCTGACAATAATTCAAAAAAATTCTGACATACTCTTTTTCTCGTTATAAAATACGTCGAAAGGTTTCGAATTTGAGTGCTGACGCGATAGAAGATTATGGTGATCAATTAGACTAAAGCTCAAATCTTTTTAATGTGTGTATATATTATATAATATGTAAAAAAGCATCATTATTTGACTTTTTGTTTCGTTTTAGAGGCTGAATTTTCATCGACAATATACAAACTTCAGCAATCGCACTGCCAGACAACCAGGTAGAGCGACAGTCCACCTTAAAAACCAATATAATAGCTTCAGTCCACCTTAAAAACCACTATGGCCCACATGAATAGTTATTATTATTCATCCAGATGAATTATTATCTATCCATCTATAATATATAAAGCCAGAGCCCCACTTTGGGGTCACGGCTTCAACAAAAATCAATAGGATAAAATTGCCCCTTAACCAAAAAAATTCAAAAGGAGCCACTATAATATGTCAAATAATGTATAGGTAATTTGGTCATTATAAAATAGAATATAAAAATTAGTAGGAAGAGAGAAACGAATAAAAAAATAGAATTAGGGAAGGATGAGTGAAAGTTGATGGTGCCCATGTGAAGGGGAAAGAAAAATATAATAAAAAATAAGAAAAATCATGAATGTTGTGTTTAAAATATATTAAGAGGCGTGTAATGCTAGTTATAAAAAAGTCGTTTGGATGCGGATAATAATGTTATTAAATAAGTTGTCAAATGATTGCTTTTTTTTTAATAAACGATATTATCTATACTAAGGGAAATGGGGTGGGTTTAGCCTCACAATGGACTAGCAATAATGTGATTCAATTAGTTGTTTATTAAATATTATTTTCTTTATAAAAATGCATTTCGCACGCGGATATTAATATGATTAAATTAATTATCAAATCATTATTTTTTTTAACAAATGATATTATCTACACTAAGGGGGAGGGGTGGGCTTAGCCTTACAATGGGCTAATAATAATGTGATATAGTCAATTGTTTATTAAATATTATTTTCTCTATTCTTAATGTAAATTTTATAGAAACCGATTTTATTATGTGAATTCAGCTGCTTTAATTGGTTTATGAGGGGTTTCTTTTAGCATGATATAAAATTATTCATTTACTTCAAATATTTGACTTTTCTTTTGTCAATTTACGAATGTAAATACATTTAAAACGTGTAAGTAGTGCTTAACACGCTATGATTCAAAAAATGCATTCTGCAAGTGCGTGAGCGCGTGCATGAAGGCTAGTTATATATAAAGAGAGAGGAAAATGTGAATAGTGCTTTGGTGTCACCAAGCTTCGACAAAAGAATTGGACAAAAATGCCCCCAAAACAAAAAACTTCAAAGGCATCCCAAAATAATGCATCAAATACGGCAGGAGTATTTTCATCATTTTAACAATATTTTTTTAATAATTAATTAATTAATTATTATTTTTTAATTAGTATCTTACACTGACCTAGCAATAATGTGATTCAATTTCTTTATTTTTAAACACGTTCAAAACATTTTAAGATATGTGTAATGCATGTTATAAAAAAAAAATCACACATGGATAATAATGTGATTAAATTAGTTCTCAAATGATTTTTTTTTAACAAATGATATTATCCACACTAAGGGGGAGGGGTGAGCTTAACTTCACAATGAACTAGCAATAATGTGATTCAATTAGTTGTTTATTAAATATTATTTTCTCTATTTTAAATACGTTCAAAACATCTTAAGAGACGTGTAGTGCCGGTTATAAAAAAAGTTTTTCGCACGCGGATAATAATGTGATTAAATTAGTTGTAAAATGATTTTTTTTGTTAAACAAAGAGAGAGGAAAATGTGAATAGTGCTTTGGTGTCACCAAGCTTCAACAAAAATAATTGGACAGAAATGCCCGCAAAACAATAAACTTCAAAGGCATCTTAATAGTATTTTTTTAATAATTAATTTTTTTGTGGTTTTTTTTTAATTAGTACCTCACAATTGGCTATCAATAATATGATTCAATTTCTCTGTTTTTAAACACGTTCAAAACATCTTAAGAGGCGTGTAATGCCGGTTATAAAAAAGGTCATTCGCACACGGATAATAATGTGATTAAATTAGTTGTCAAATGATTTTTTTTTAACAAACGATATTATCTACACTAAGGGAGAGAGAGTGGGCTTAGCCTCATAATGGGTTAGCAATAATGTGATTCAATTATTTGTTTATTAAATATTATTTTTTCTATTTTAAACACGTTCAAAACATTTTATGTCACAGCCCGTCCCAGAGTTACTAATTACCGAGGACGTGAAATTACTAAAACGCCCTTAAACGGGATTAAGGTGCGTAAATTTGGCAATTTTTTTTTACACTAAGATCCTAAACTAGGGTTAGATTTTTTTTATTGTATGTGTTAATTTATTTTGTGTTTGGACTTAGGGTGGGGTCCTACCCCCTAAATCCCTCCCCAAAACCCGTTGGATGTCTCTCTCTCATATCCCTTCACTCTCTCTCTCTTTCTTCATTTCAGTATCACTCTCTCTCTCTCTTACTCTCGAACTCTCTCAAGCTCTCGGACAAACACCAAGAACAATCACAATCCTACACCAACGTCCGATCTAAGATCACCACGACACTCCTTAGGACCTCACGAGCACGGGAATACCAGTTTTAGGTAAGTTCTATTTCGAGAACCCTAGTTTTAAAACACCCCGTGTAATGGCACTGTTCACGAACTTAATTTTGGTTGTGTTTTAGGTTAAACAAAGATCACCACGAGTCTTAGGAAGTTCGAAGGAGGCTCGGAGTGCCTCGTTTGAACAAAATGGACGTCGGGATCGTCGGGTTCGAGTTTGGCCGAAATTGAAGAATTTTGAAAGGTTTGATCTTGTTGTTTTTAGGCCTTAAAACCCTTCCAACGTGATAGTACATGTTAAATGCTTCATTTTGGTATAAAATGCGAAGAAATTGGTTGAAAAACGAAGGAGAATAGTGGATTTGAAAATTTTCCAGAAACCGGCGAACAGTCGCCGGCGACCGGTGACTCGCCGGAGAAGACAGGGAATCTTCCGTCAAGTTTGACGGAATATTCCGACGCCGTTAGTTAACTTTAACGGAAACCGTTAGTTTTTAACGGAATATGCTAGGATTTAACGGAATATTCCCTAACGCCGTTCACTGTAGCCGTCAGTGTGCATGTCACGTGGCCGCGCGTGGGCGCGCGTAGGTCCGTGCCACGTCAGGCGCGTGGGGGCGCGTGAGGACTCCAAAAATTATTTTAAAAATATGGGGATGATCCTGAGGTTGTGTAGGTCACTGTGGTATATTCATATACCCAATTTGAGCATCGTATGAAGAATTAATTACCTAGTTTGGTTTAGGTGCGTTAAATGTGCGTTAAATGATTGTTTTAAGTTATTTCACTTCTAGGTGGAACATTTAACGAGGACGAGCACATCCAGGGGCGTCAAGGGGGTTACGACCCGGCGACATATCAGTGAGTGGGCATTTGTTTTTATATATACCTATATACTCGATTTCCCCAGAAATCAAATTTAAATGAAAAGTATATTGAAATGAAATATGATGTGATTGCCATGCATAGAATATTATGGATATTATGAACTGTCGTATGATGCATATATGTAAGGTGGTGCTGTGGACGCACAGGTAAGTATTTAATTACTGTTATGTTGATGATGATGACATATATTGAGCTCATATCCTGCACCATGGTTTAGTGCTTATAGTATTCACCGCATCGCACGCTCGCCTTGGATCCAAGTAGATGCTGGTCGTACAGTCCACGCGGAGTGGGTACGACGGGCCAGTCGTAGAGTGTTAGTGAGATTATGACTGGTGGGTGACCTTAGGTTATTGTATACAGATGATTGATGAGAGAAGCACTAGAGCGAATATTACCATGAGTCGTTCAGACTACATTAGGTGGTTCCGACTTATGTGCAGAAGGCCGGACAGGTCACGCGGAGTGACTCCGGCAGAGTGAGATTGATAGATGTTGAGCTCTAGGTTCAATCGTTCAGGGCTATTAGAGGGCCTCCGATTGATTTCTATCTTTTACCTGATTATATTATGTTAATGCATTCATACTAAACTGTTGAAATTGGCATGGTACATTCTTTATTGAATCTGTTATAAGATTGATGATTGAGACAGTTGAGATATATATGCTATATACTATTTTTCTGGGAAAGTATACAGGTTTTCCAAAAAGGGGTTATAATTGTGGATTTATGAAATGATTTGGAAAAGCTTATTTTCGCCCACTCACGTTTTCTGTTTTCGCCCCTCCAGGTTCTAGTTGATAGTTGAGGTGTTGGTGGCCTACGAGACTGCTTCGGCGTTCTGACAGACTAAATAAATGTAGGATTCACCCGAGGGTGTTGTAAATTAGTTATGTTCCTACTTGACTGCACCTAGATGCTTATGCTCTGTTTATGTGTGTTTAGTACACTCTTATGCACATAGAATGCTAGGTTGTAAATAACTGCAATTAGTGGTTTTCGTTAACTCGTATTTTATTATTAAATTGTTTCCGCTTGCGTTATGGTTACGTCACGCTCACGTGACGGCCAGCACGTCCTAGTCTTCGGGTTAGGGTGTGTCAGTTTGGTATCAGAGCATAGGTTGCAGTCCTGTATAACTAATGAGTTCTTTATTTGATTTTTGGATGTTTTCTGTCAGAATTATGCCGCCTCGTAGAGATCCTCGCCGTGCTGCTGAGCCTAATTTCCCCGATATAACTCAGTTAGGGGCAGCAATGGCTCAAGCTTTTCAGGCTAATATCCGTCCTCCTCAG